CAGAGGTCCAGCGATGGACTTGTGGTTCTGTGAACAGCACAAATGCCAGGTGACTGTAAAATAACTAACAGCACTTTTTCCACAAGTGAAGCCAGTAACTTACTATCCTAAAAGATTAGCTGTAGTTGCTCGTGCTTTACCTCCATGCGTGAGATCAGTATGTGCAGCAGCTTAAGCTGTACAATGTTTCAATAGTTTATTTCACCTTTGAAATTGTTAGTTCCACACGAGGTAGATGTTTACTAAACTTACATTTCTGTCACCTACAAGACACTTGTCTTTAATGTTAATGTTACTCTCACAACCACACATATTACCATAAAGTGGTGCACAATTCTGAATCTGTCCAATCCTTTTTGCCAACAGAGGAGGGCACTTCTCATGAGAGTAGAGAGCGCGAGGAGAAGAAGTGTAAGCTGAGGGATGACTTACTAAATGTGCCACTCATTGAGGGAAAGGTTTGGTTTGTTGATGGTTTGAGTTTACAATAGCAGAGGGACAGACTAGAACAGGTTTTACTGTAGCAGACAGTGAGAGAGAGTTATCTATGTAGGGCAACTATCATGTTTCATATTTGCTTGAGCAGCAGAGATGCTAGCTTTAACGGAAGCGTGTCAAGCTGTAGAGAGACAATATACCCTGATAGGCAGTATGTATTTGCTACTGTACATTTCTTTGTAGTGCAGTGAGTGAGACGAGGTGTGACAACCTCTACAGGGAAACCTGTAGAACACGCCAAACTCTTGCAAAATCTGCTGGAGGCAGTGTTATTACCCAGTAGAATTGCCGTTTGTAAATGTGCAGCACACACGTGAGGGAAAGATCCAGTTGCATTAGGGAAAGTTTTTGCAGATAAGATCGCAAAAGAAGCAGCTGTAGTTAAACATGGTGTTAACCTTTTATCAGTACAACATCAGCAGACATGCAGGCCCACTCACCTACAGCAGGAAAACAGTTGTGACTTACAGAGGGAGCGAGCTTATAGGATGGTGTTTATTATCTGTGGGATAAACCAGTACTGCCTAATAATTTGTATAAGACTGCTGCTGTTTTGAGCCATGGGCTATACCATGTCTCAAACAGGAGGGAGATGAGCAGTAGTTTATACTCACTCTAGGATTATTAAATACTCTTTTAAAAAAAAAACTTTTTGCAGGCAGAGAGAACTAATGGAACAGTAAAGTTAAGATTTAGGAAGACAGGCAGGACATGGTTAGACTGTATAGAATAAGTACATGAGGATTACTCCAGCAGAGAATGGTCTGACTCTTTGAGATTATACATGTTAGAGCATTTAGAGTTCTAGTCTTCTGTAGTGATGATAGAAAAGCAGAAGAGAGAGCATATTAGCAGATTAGATGCTTGAAAATGTTTAAAAGTAAAGAAATCATGAGAACAAATGATCTGCCAGATGATTCTGTTTCTCTGCAGGAGCAGAGTCTGAAGTCTGGAGATTGGATGTTGATAAGGCCATGGAGAGGAAGTGCTGGTCCAGTCCATGATGGAAAGGTCCCTATCGGGTGCTGCTGACAACGACCACAGCAGTGAAGATTGCTGGAAGGAACACTTGGATACATCAAGCGCACTGCAAGAAGGTGACACACATCCAGGCCAGCTCGGAGTAAGTGGCAGGAAGACCGGGAACAAAGGGTGGGGAAAGCCTCCAGGGCCCCTCGTCTCAATCCAGTGAAGAAACCAACTGAGCCACAGGTACTCATCAGAATGGCTGGGAATGTGCTGTGCATCTTCTTGAGCCTGTGGACCCTGAGTGGGATGACAGGGAGCGCACTGGAACAGAGCAAACCACACCCATGGGTTTTCAACAACTACTGGTGGCAGTTTAAGAACACAACCGCTCACATAAAGAACGAGACCAATGGTTATGCTTGTGATGCCACTGGCTACACATTCTTCTGGACTGTGGCCATATAGCATCACTGAGAGCGAGACAGTTTGTTTGGTTGCTTTAGCAACACATCCAGGAACACTGCCAACTTTTCAACTGCTCTGAACCTGAATGGAAGGTTGATTCACCAGTAGCTGGGAAGGTGAACTGCTCTGGTAAGACAGACCTGCTCATCTGACTTAAAGAATATCAAAATCAAATCAAATCACTTTTATTGTCACATCACATGTGCAGGTACATTGGTACAGCACATGTGAGTGAAATTCTTGTGTGCGAGCTTCACAAGCAACAGAGTTGTGCAAAATACAATAATGTAAACAAGCAAAATACAAGAATGGCTACATCTGAAACTAATAAATATATGTACAATATATATAATAGTATATGCATTTCTGGATGTGTATACTAAATATTTTTCTACGTGTGTGTGTGTGTGTGTGTGTGTGTGTGTGTGTGTGTGTGTGTGTGTGTGTGTGTGTGTGTGTGTGTGTGCGTGTGTGTGTGTGTGTGTACACATATTTTACAAATTAAATAGAGTAAACAATAAATAAAATATATAAAATAAATAAAATAAAATATACAGAGTGAGACATGTGCAAAACAGTGGCGTTACTGTACAGTATGGAGTGCATAATGTTAAAGTTCCAGTAGTGAAGCTGAGGTGTCTATGACGTGTTCAGCAGTCTGATGGCCTGGTGGAAGAAGCTGTCTCTCAGTCTGCTGGTACGGGACCGGATGCTGCAGAACCTCCTTCCTGATGGAAGCAGTCTGAACAGTGTATGGGCTGCAGTTGAAGCTAGCTGAGAGCCACATGGACAAACAATAAAGTCAACTGATGTGTTTAAATACATATGTCTATATACAGTTGGATTGTAGTGACATATGATTTTTGAGAATGATGATTCTTCTTGTTCGACTTTTGACATTCAGTTGTTTACTTGCAGAAATACATAATGAATCGCACGACAGGAGTAGATCCGCCACAAGGCTGGATAGGTTGGTTACTGTCTGGTCCTTGGTGGCATCTTCTTTTGAAAATATTAATTCCTGCTTTTGTATTGTTGATACTGATTTGCTTATGTATAGGATGCATTTTACCTTGTTTAAGATCAATGCTGACTAAGATGATTTCCAATACATTTTTTAAGTGATCTAGGTAGCTCTGTTTGGAAGTTCAGTTAACGCTAGAAATGTGTTTTGGAGGTTCTACGTGTTTTGTCTCTAAGGACCACCGCATATACTTATATATAAACATATATAAATAAAACCAACTTTTTTTTACGTTAGTAATTCCTTTTGTGCATAATTTTATATTATTGTTAATAATAAATTAATTAAAGCAACAAAACAACCTGAAGAGCCGGTTGGGAGCCAAAAGAGCCGGTTCTCTAATAAGAGCCGGAAATCCCATCACTAATATTTTCATACAGCATATTGAGATTTGTCACTGGAGGAAACATTTGTTGGCCAGTGTATGTTTGTTCAACGTGTAAATCTTCATATTTCACAGTCACGTTACACATAGTTGAGATCACCCAACCCACTGCTCTAATGCAAGAAGGAATTTCCTCTTAAGCAAACAGAACATACAACAAAAGAAAAAACAGGTCACTCAAACTAACCCGCCTTGACAAATTAAAAGTAGAGAACTTGTTTTGAAGTAAGAAAGAAGATGCCCTCAAGGCAAATTCTCACGAGGGCCTAAGAGTACATCTTTCAACATCTTACAATACTGTGATTGCAGCCATTCCTCAACTCTCTGTCAATGGTACTCATGGCCAATGATCAGTGGGCTTTGATCAATGGTTGTTGATCAATGGCCATGAGAATTTGCATAATCATGATGAAGGAACTGACCTCTCAGCCCATTGTTCCTTCAGTGGTGCTAGTTTCAGTCATCATGCAAATGTACTGTTTATAAGATTGGGGAAACCTGCAGTCAGCTGAGACTGAAGAAGTTACTTGGATGAGTGATGAAACGTTTCTCCCACAAAACGCTACGTCCAGATGAACACAACCAACTTTTGGGGATTTACTTACCTGAATGATTGAGCATGCATCAAGAGGTTTTAACCCACTTTGGCAAGGACTGCCTAAAGCTAAATTTAAAAGCAGAAAATTAGAGGCCATCCAGGCCTTTATGTTTATGTGTGTTATCTGGCTTCATGGATAGATAAAGTTGGGTGTCATCTGTATAGCAGTGAAAATGTATGCTATGCGTTCTTATGATGATAATAATACAGTACACTATGATATCAGCAGGACTGAAGTGATATCTATTTATTAGGCACAACTGGAAGTCTTGTTATTCTGCTAAAGTTTTTTCCCACCAGTTTTTGCAAACACTTTAGAAAATTATATTAGCTTCAATAAAAATCATTTAAACATTTGCAATGTTTATTACCTCATTGTCTTACTTTAAACTAATTATTACAACAATACAAAGTTTTAAACTTTAGGTGATCTCAGTTATAATATTGTATTAAAGCATTATTGCAACTAATTGTACTATTAGCCATCAATACAAGGACGAAACAGCTTTAAAGATGGAATACTGATAAGGCAGGTTTAAGGGTGCAGTGAGAACTGAACATAACTGGCATCTCTTTAGTTTTTCTCTCTCTTTCAGTTTACAGTTAAAATGAAGACTGGCCATTTTAATGTCACCTCACAGATTATCATCATCACCAGGAGACCAAGATAACAATGAAAGATTACTGAACATCTGTTTTGTTGATTTGTTTGTGGCATTTTCTTTCAGCTGTCTTGTGTAACAGTTTCCAAAATGCTGATAGATTTTCACTACGTCCAGCCAACACCTATGATACTCTCAGAGGTTGGGGAAACAGTAAGTCAATTTTAGTCAAATTTACTTGAGCATACAGTCAGTTATATTCAGGTGTGTTGCATCAGGGACACATGGAAAAGTTTCAGGACACCGGCCCTCAAGGACTGGAGTTTGACACCCCTGTCCTACATAGTCTCCCGTCAGAGTTGTGGCTCTGTAAGAGTGATAGATTTATGGACTATAGAAACATATGGTATTGTTACTGTGCTTTACATTAAGTTGTTTACAATAAAAGCAAGGAAACACTTATTTTTGCATGACTTTTAATTTTCACATTGAATTAATGAAGAGAATAAAGGCACCATATCAGTTGTTTTTTGTTTTTGTTTTTAATGATGGATAAAATCTGAATGAAATTTTTATGAACCATTTTTGTAACTTAATTCTCAAAATATGCTTTAATCTCAGTGTTCGACATTCACACATAAGAATAACGTTTCATCCAGGCGATTAAAATTTGTCACAGGAGAAAACATTTGTAGGTCAGTTTGTGTTTTTTTACGTGTTAATCTTCATAAACCACAGTCACGTTACACACAGTTGAGAGCACCCAAGCCGCTGCTCCACCAACACCGCCAAATAATGCAGTGGCAGCCCATGACATACCTGCTGCACCTACAGTGAAATCATGTTAGACACTATTAGCTCTATTAGCTTATTCAACATGAGCAAAGCTTTTAGAGAGAGAGAGAGAGAGATAATATATAGTAAATTATTCAGTTTACCCCAGGACTGCAAGGTTGCTACGAGACCTCCTGCTACAACTCCACCTCCACTAGCGATTGCTAAATATGACATCAGTTTGGCAGCGATGGAGCCTGCTGCTATTCCAGCTGAAGTGAACCCCAGTGAAGCCAGAATGGCAGGAGTCAGAATCACAGTTCCACCAGCTCCTAAAAAACCCCCAAAAAACATATATTAAAGATTTTCATATCAAAATTATGCTGTGGTTAATGTGATGGCATACCTGCAAACACAACGACCGCCTTGCCTGTTAATGAAATACAAAAAGATTTCAAATAAAATATTTACAATTATAAAAATAATAATAATTCATATCCACTGTATAATGGGATAACACTGTTATAAAAAAAAATAGACTCACATATTTCTTCCCATTCCATGTCTGTGCTTTCAAAGATAACATTCAAATGACACCAAGAGCTCAACTGAACAAACCTGATGTATGTTATTTACTTTATTTCCAAGAACTACCTCTCCCATTTACCAAATATGAACAGAGGAGGAGGAGCACAGGGATGTACCTTAAAAAAATAACACAGGCATGTACAGGGAGTGCAGAATTATTAGGCAAGTTGTATTTCTGAGGAATAATTTTATTATTGAACAACAACCATGTTCTCAATGAACCCAAAAAACTCATTAACATCAAAGCTGAATGTTTTTGGAAGTAGTTTTTAGTTTGTTTTTAGTTTTAGCTATTTTAGGGGGATATCTGTGTGTGCAGGTGACTATTACTGTGCATAATTATTAGGCAACTTAACAAAAAACAAATATATACCCATTTCAATTATTTATTTTTACCAGTGAAACCAATATAACATCTCCACATTCACAAATATACATTTCTGACATTCAAAAACAAAACAAAAACAAATCAGCGACCAATATAGCCACCTTTCTTTGCAAGGACACTCAAAAGCCTGCCATCCATGGATTCTGTCAGTGTTTTGATCTGTTCACCATCAACATTGCGTGCAGCAGCAACCACAGCCTCCCAGACACTGTTCAGAGAGGTGTACTGTTTTCCCTCCTTGTAAATCTCACATTTGATGATGGACCACAGGTTCTCAATGGGGTTCAGATCAGGTGAACAAGGAGGCCATGTCATTAGTTTTTCTTCTTTTATACCCTTTCTTGCCAGCCACGCTGTGGAGTACTTGGACGCGTGTGATGGAGCATTGTCCTGCATGAAAATCATGTTTTTCTTGAAGGATGCAGACTTCTTCCTGTACCACTGCTTGAAGAAGGTGTCTTCCAGAAACTGGCAGTAGGACTGGGAGTTGAGCTTGACTCCATCCTCAACCCGAAAAGGCCCCACAAGCTCATCTTTGATGATACCAGCCCAAACCAGTACTCCACCTCCACCTTGCTGGCGTCTGAGTCGGACTGGAGCTCTCTGCCCTTTACCAATCCAGCCACGGGCCCATCCATCTGGCCCATCAAGACTCACTCTCATTTCATCAGTCCATAAAACCTTAGAAAAATCAGTCTTGAGATATTTCTTGGCCCAGTCTTGACGTTTCAGCTTGTGTGTCTTGTTCAGTGGTGGTCGTCTTTCAGCCTTTCTTACCTTGGCCATGTCTCTGAGTATTGCACACCTTGTGCTTTTGGGCACTCCAGTGAGGTTGCAGCTCTGAAATATGGCCAAACTGGTGGCAAGTGGCATCTTGGCAGCTGCACGCTTGACTTTTCTCAGTTCATGGGCAGTTATTTTGCGCCTTGGTTTTTCCACACGCTTCTTGCGACCCTGTTGACTATTTTGAATGAAACGCTTGATTATTCGATGATCACGCTTCAGAAGCTTTGCAATTTTGAGACTGCTGCATCCCTCTGCAAGATATCTCACTATTTTGACTTTTCTGAGCCTGTCAAGTCCTTCTTTTGACCCATTTTGCCAAAGGAAAGGAAGTTGCCTAATAATTATACACACCTGATATAGGGTGTTGATATCATTAGACCACACCCCTTCTCATTACAGAGATGCACATCACCTAATATGCTTAATTGGTAGTAGGCTTTCGAGCCTATACAGCTTGGAGTAAGACAACATGCATGAAGAGGATGATGTGGACAAAATACTCATTTGTCTAATGATTCTGCACTCCCTGTACAGTTCTTGGTTGGCCCAAAGTTTTATATGAGAATTTGTGTTTATCTGATTGGTTAAAACTGATGGGGAGAAATTATAGTTTGCACTAAACTATCCCTTTGTTGGTGCCCCAAACTAGTCCCAGCCACTAAGCACTAAAGGTTTTTTTCCCCTATTTTCTAACCTTTACCAAATGACTTGCTGTATTAGTGACCATGAGAGCAACCCTGGTTGAGTTACAGGATGCAGTTTTTGTCTCGTGGTCCCGATGACTCACACATCTTTTAAGGTTCCACCACAGTCAAGTTAAGGTCTGGACTTTGCACGTGTTTTTATTTGTCACATTAAATTTGTGAAGACAACAGAAGCATCATATCAGTCTTTGGATTAGATAAAACATCTTCATCCTCTACAATGATATTTTATTTCAAAATGATGGGTAAAAGTGAGCAACAAAGGTTATCAGACATTTTTGTAACTTCATTCTCAAATCATGCGACATTTCCATATATTTATATAGTATATATTTTCATACAGTGCATTGACATTTGTCACAGGAGGAAACATTTGTAGGCCAGTGTATGTTTGTTCAACCTGTAAATCTTCATATTTCACAGTCACGTTACACATAGTTGAGATCACCCAACCCACTGCTCTTAATAATAATAATAATAATAATAATAATAATAATGGATTGCATTTATATAGCGCTTTTCGGGGCCCTCAAAGCGCTTTACAATTCCACTATTCATTCAATCTCACATTCACACACTGGTGGAGGCAAGCCACAGTTGTAGCCACAGCTGTGCTGGGGCAGACTGACAGAATGCAAGAAGGAATTTCCTCTTAAGCAAACAGAACATACAACAAAAGAAAAAACAGGTCACTCAAACTAACCTGCCTTGACAAATTAAAAGTACAGAACCTGTTTTGAAGTAAGAAAGAAGATGCCCTCAAGGCAAATTCTCACGAGGGCCTAAGAGTACATCTTTCACCATCTTACAATACTGTGATTGCAGCCATTCCTCAACTCTCTGTCAATGGTATTCATGGCCAATGATCAGTGGGATTTGATCAATGGTTGCTGATCAATGGTCATGAGAATTTGCATAATCATGATGAAGGAACTGACCTCCCAGCCCATTGTCCCTTCAGTGGTGCTAGTTTCAGTCATCATGCAAATGTAATGTATGTAAATGAACAGAATCGACTTTTGGGGATTTACTTACCTGGATGATTGAGCATGCATCAAGAGGTTTTAAACCACTTTGGCAAGGGCTGCCTAAAGCTTGTACGTCAGTATGAGCAAACAGCACGCAAGATGGCGGATTACAGGAACCACCTGAGCAGAAGCGTTCAGTGGTCACAGAAGCGTTGGAGGTAGTTTGTAAGAGATTACAGGATGACCCCAACCTCAGCAACAGGACCACTCTCAGCATCGACCAAGTGTGTTTGCTTTTCGAACTGTCATGGTCTCCGTGCCTGCCCGGCCGGCCCCACAAGGCTACATGTGTTGTTTGGTTTTCTCTCTCTGTCTTTCTCTGCCTGGGCGGAGCTCACTGTGGGCTCCCGCCCTTGGCCCACACACCTGTCAACAATCAGCGGTCATCACCCAGGAGCACTATTTGAGGCTGGAACACAGATCCTCTCGTCGCTGGATGATTGTACTACAGACGTTAGTGTTTCTCCCAGCTCTTGTGAACCTGTGATTCGTGATTTGTGTGTGACTTCCCTCTCTTCTGCGACAGACTTTCCTCCCCGTACCTGTGACCCTGAGTCGTGTGAACGTGTGTGAGTTTGGGCAAGAAGACGTGAGCGAGTGTGAGAGAGCTTCCCCGTGATTCCCTGGAGTTTGGATTCCCCTTCACTGTATATATCGTGCACTGGTGCTGTAAATAAAATGTTTTTTGGAGACGCCTACCGCTCTGAGTTCCTACTACCAGATTGTGACAGGAACTGTGTCTTCATTCCACCTATTTCACATTCAAGGGTCAGTTCTACAGGCAGAGCCTTGGGCTCCCCAGTTTCACCCATCGTGGCCAACTTGTACATGAAAGAAGTGGAAAAGAGGGCTTTGTTATCCTACCCTGGAACACCACCAAGCCTTCTTAGACTGTGAGATTTCCGTAAACCTACCCATATGGATTAGTATTTAAGGTTTGAGTCTCATCATCCACTGGAGCATAAACTGGGTGTCATCAGGACGCTACAACACAGAGCGAACACGATCCGCACAGACACAGTGGTTGGCAGGAAGGAGAAGACTATTACATCAAGAAAGCCCTGAGTAAATGTGGTTTGTCCACAGCTTTGTAGGGAGGAAATCATTACTGGCTAGCCCACTGACCGTAGCCAAGAAAAACACATGTTTTTTTCCACTTGCTTTGACTTTGTACTTTGCAACTCTAATAATACTAACTTAACCATCAATATAAGGACCGGACAATTTTTTTGTACAGGTTTTTAAAGATGGAAGACTGATAATACATGTTTAGGGTTGCAGACAGAACTGAACATAACTGGCATCTCTTTAGTTTTTCTCTCTTTTAGTTTATAGTTAAAAGGAAGACTGGCCTTTTTAATTTCACCTCACAGATTATCATCATCATGGTTACAGCAACCCAGAAGACCAAGATAACAGTGACAGATGAACATCTCAGGAATGCTAAATGTTTCAACTTTTTTGCTGATTTGTGGTTGGCATTTCTTTCCAGCTGGCTCATGGAACAGTTTCAGAAACACTGATAAATTTTCACAGTGCATCCAACACCCATGATACTCTCTCAGAAGATGAGAAACAGTAAGTCAATTTCTGACAGTTGATATTTGCTGATTGGCAGTGTTGGAGTGAATTGTTAAATGTTGCCATTATTGTACTTAAATTTGTAAACCTTGCCTTGAACTGCATGTTTAGATATTCTTCGGTTCCTCCCACCATCTAGGTAGGGTATGCAATAGCTTTAACTGCAAGTACATTCCATGTGAGATTCTGGTTTCCTTATCTGGTAAAGGATGTTCACTCCCAGCCATTTAGGGGCTCGCCTATGCTATATATAGTGAACCATTAAAGTTAAGCCATATATGGGTGTGAGGAGATGTTTGTTTGTTTGTTTGTGCTTAATTTGACTTTTTACTTAACTCTCAGATCTCGTCTTTCATTTCCAAGCAGCGGAAAAAACGGCAAAGTTTTTCCCTTAACTATCTGCTACGCACAGATGCAGCCACGTATCTCTGTTGTAGTGACTGGCAGCCTTCGCAAGGAATAAATGAAATGCTCAATAATCCTCAGTAAACATCAGTAAAGTGGTTTTTTTTTTTATCTTAGCTGAACTGTGGCACAGCAGTCAAGTTCGGGTAAAAGACCTCTGCTCTGAGTACACTTGAAATCATTATGAAAAGCACAGTAAAGTGCCCTTTAGTCGGCTTTTTAATCGTGTTTTTTATTAAAATAATACCATGTTTAAGTCTGCAGATAAGGAGGTTAGAGCACCACAGTCTGTATCACACAGCAGGGCCGTGCAAAGATGTTTAAAGGTTCGAATTTCAAGAGGGGCACATTGAACCAGGCTGAATAACAACAACACACATTCATCAAGAATCTAATAAGGGATCGCCTCATACTATATCACTGTTGTGAGGTGGCGACAAGGCAAAGCAAACGTAGCCTATGTTTTACCTGATAGGGTACAATGTTGCTGTTGAGGGGTTTCTGCTGCTCCTGCTGCTGATATTGCTGAAGGCCAGGGCTGTGTTGATCTGAGACTGTAGACATTAAAAACTCCATAGGCGAGATGGTAGCTGATTAAACAAGTGTTATGAGATAATAACAAAATGCAAAGATTGTTGACGGTGCTTGAAACCATAAGGCAACAAAAAACTGTGAGAAATAAACTCGGCTCTGCCTGTGAATCACTCTTTGCCTCTCTTCCTCCTTCATCTCCTCATCTCATCCATCACTCTCCTCTTGCTGTCCATCTGAGAACAAGGCACAGTTTGTTATTGCAATAAACTATTATTTAGTTATCCACAACAACTTTTGCACTTAATCTATAATAAAATAATGACAGAAAAATGTTATAGAAGCAAAACATTCCAGTTGTGCTTAGTATTATTTATATACTGGAATACATCTCCAACAACTGGTACATGTGATATTGTTACCTGTGCTCTTTGTAATCCAGCTGCTGAGGGACCCACTGCCTTTAGCCTCACACAGCTCCTACTGTTTCCTCCTCATGTCCTTACCAGCCATGTCTGGACAATGTTATATCATGAGTAATAATTTGAAAAATCTATAAACACACACGCACATACATACAGTGACATTTTAGACCTTCTTCACAATACTGTATATACTATGGCCACAAGTTTCCCTCGTGGTGCTGATCCAGAATCCCTCCCTTATTATTTATTCCTAGTGCTATAATAATTAAGTAAAAAGAAAGTACTGTGCAGGGAGAAAGCTTATTAAATTTTTAAACTGTAGAGATGCAATAATTGTACTGCTGTAAAATCATCATTTTGTCATATTTGAAATATTAATCTAATATAATCTGTTTATTACTGTATGTTGTTTAAAATACAGTGTGTGTAAATATCATAATTTTAATAATCCATAATTATGTGGACATAGAATAGAATAGAATAGAATAGAACCCTTTAATTGTCCCACAAGGGGAAATTTGACATGAATATTAGAAAGTTTTTAGTGAAATATAAATCCTCCAGAAACTTACTCTGCCTCTCTTCCTCCTTCCATCTCCTCATTTGCGGTATAACTCTCCACATGCTGTCCATCTGTGCAATAATCCTTTCTGTCATCGTTGTATTTTTACTCAGTTGTATATAGTATTTGTATTTGTATTCTATTTTTATCTTATTGTATATTTATTTTATTTTATTCTACTGTATATAGTATTTTATTTTATTCTATTCTGTACAGTTGTGTACTGTATTTATTCTTATTGTATTCTAATTTTTGCCTCATAACTTTTGCACTGTCCACTTCCTGCTGTGACAAAACAAATTTCCCACGTGTGGGACTAATAAAGGTTATCTTATCTTATCTGAGAACAAGACACAATTTGCTATTGCATTAATCTATTATTTAATTGTCCACACTTAATAACTCTCGCACCTAATCCATAATAAAGTAATGATAGAAAATGTTATAGAAACATCCTTACCAGGCATGTCTGGACTGTGTTATATCATGAGTAATAATTTAAAAAAAATCTATATACATAAAACACACAAGCGCACACACAGTGACATTTTTGACCTTCTTCACAATACTGTATATACTATGGGCACAAGTTTCCCTCGTGGTGCTCATCCAGAATCCCTCCCTTATTATTTATTCCTAGTGCTATAATAATTAAGTAAAAAGAAAATAATAAAAAAATATATATTGTATGTTTGACTATCCACTCCGTGCAGGCAGAAAGGTTATTAAGTGTTTAAACTGTAGAAATACAATAATATTGCTGCTGTATAATAAGCATTTTGTCTTATTTAAAATATAAATCTAATATAATCTGTTTCTTAAGGTATGTTAATTAAAATACAGTGTGTGTTTAAATATCATAATTATAATAATCCATAATTATGTGGACATAGTGAAATATAAGCCCTCCAGAAAGGCAGGAAAAGTCCCGTAATTTACTTTAAAACTAAATATGTTCACTAAAACGGTGACAGAGCTACAGACCCATTACAGCCTTACACAGTTAGCTAGCAGTTATGACCAGCACTACTTGCGCAGTTAATAAAGGACAGGTAATGTCTGTTACACACACAGCACACTCATTTGTTTCAATTTGTCAGTTGCCATAAGACAATTTATCAACGTGTACATAATAATGGATTGCATTTATATAGCGCTTTTCGGGCCCTCAAAGCGCTGTACAATTCCACTATTCATTCACTCTCACATTCACACACTGGTGGAGGCAGCTACAGTTGTAGGCAAAGCTGCCCTGGGGCAGACTGACAGAGGCGAGGCTGCCATATTGTGCCATTGGCCCCTCTGGCCATCACCAATAGGCAATAGGTGAAGTGTCTTGCCCAAGGACACAACGACCAAGACTGACGAACTGCCAACTGTTTGAGCCACGATCGCCCCGCTAATACTCCTGTGTGCTATAGACTACAGTTTACGCTGTACACCTACTAACTTGTTTTGTCGCATCAGTCTGTGTCTCTGAGTTCATTTGTGTTTCTCTTTTTTTTTTCTTTTTTTTTTGCCTGTCCCGTTTGGCCTTTTGCCATCAGAATTATTGTCTAAAGGCAAAGAAAGATGCCCAACGGATTTACTTTACCAAATTGACCATCCCAGCCTTGCCGTAATGGTCCATTTGATTCACCTTTTATTGTTTATTTTATTTTCATTTACTGAATACGGGACAGACTTGACTGGGGGAAAGAAGGGGAGAAAGAAAGAGGGAAAGAGAAACAGCTGAGAAGAGGGACGGGGGAGAAGGGCAAAAAACAAAAACCAACAGAATAAGCAGAGAAAAAAAATGCATATATCGATCACCTGGATCACCTGTTGAGAAAGAAAAAAGAAAACAAGCAGAAGAAAACAAGAGTAATAGAATAAGCAACATCACAATGATATATGGGAATATGACAGTAAATACTAAATATTAAACATTATTGTGCAGCACATAAGATCAACAGAACACAGTGTGCTTTGAGGTAGGAGCCAAAAGGGTGTAGTTTGTGGGTGTGATCACCCGTTTGTACACCTGTGAGCATGGACGCGCTTGTTTTTTTTTAAAAGACGCGCTTGTATTTAAAAGGTTCCTTCATGTAATGATCTGCTAGCTAGCAGTAGATATCAGTAGATACTAAGTAATAAACGATATTGTGCAGCACGCAAGATAGACAGCGCACAATGTGCTTTGAGGCAGCAGCCAAGAAAGCTGTAGTCCGCGTCTGTGAATACCCGTGTGTACACCTGTGTGCATACCTGTGTGGATCAGCATGCTTGTATTCCAAAGGTTTCTCCATGTAACGATCTGCTAGGGAGT